CTGGATAAGGACAGGTACATACGGCAGGGTAAAGTTTACAATTGGGGGAAGGGTAATTACAATTCGGTTCGGCAAGAACTGGGTAACAAACTGGGAACAGATGCTGTCAGGGAACAGCACCACAGAAATGTGGAGATTGTTTAAGGAATGTATACTGCATGTGCTCGATATATTTGTCCCGAGCAGGCAGAGAAGATGATGCGGTCGAGTGAGGGAGCCATGGTTCTCGAGAGAGGTCAAACGGCTGGTTAAGAGAAGGAAGGAGGCTTATGTAAGGTTTAGGAAAAGAGGAACGGTAAAGGCTCCAGAGGGATACAAGTTGGCCAGGAAGGAGCTGAAGAAAGGGCTTAGGAGAGCTATAAGGGGGCATGAGAAAACCTTGGCGGATAGAATCAAGGAAAACTCCAAGGCTTTTTACACGTATGTGCAGAACAAGAGAATGACCAGAGAAAGGGTAGGGCCGATCAAGGATTGTAAAGGGAATTTGTGCACACAGCCTAAAGAGATAGGAGAGGTCCTTAAATGAATACTTTTCTTCAGTATTCACAACTGAGAGGGACCTAGTTGTGGAGAAGGGCATTGTGAAACAGGCAGGTAGGCTAGAGGAGGTTGATGTTAGTAAAGAAGATGTGCTAGGACCTTTGAGGAACTTGAAGATAAGAGGAGACCCCCAGACCTGATGGGATTTATCCAAGGATTCTATGGGAAGCGAGGGACAAGATCGCAGGGCCTTTGGCGATGATCTTTTCGTCCTCACTGTTCACAGGTATAGTGCTGGAAGATTGGAAAGAGGCAAACGTCATTCCCTTGTTCAAAAAAGGGAACAGGGATAACCCTGGAAATTACAGGCCAGTTAGTCTTACGTCAGTGGTGGGCAAATTATTGGAAAGAGCTCCGAGAGATAGAATTTATGATCACTTGGATTCGTGATAGTCAGCATGGATTTGTGAGGGATAGATCATGCCTCACAAACCTTAGTGAATTCTTTGAAGAGGTGACCAAACACGTGAAGGCGGAGCAGTGGATGTGGTATACATGGATTTTAAGTAAGGCGTTTGATAAGGTTCCCCATGGTAGGCTCATGCAGAAGGTAAGGAGGCATGGGATAGGGGAAAATGTGGCAAATTGGATTCAGAATTGGCTGACCCTTAGAAGACTAAGGGTGGTAGTGGACGGAAAATATTCAACATGGTGCTCAGTCACGAGTGGTGTACCACAAGGATCTGTTCTGGGTCCTCTTCCGTGATTTTTGTAAATGATTTGGATGAAGGAGTGGAAGGGAGGATTAGCAAGTTCGCGGACGATACGAAGGTGGGTCACATTGTGGACAGTGCGGAGGGCTGTTCTAGGTTACAAAAGGGACATTGATAGAATGCAGAGCTGGGCTGAGAAGTGGCAGATGGAGTTTAACCCTGAAAAGTGTGAGGTGATTCATTTTGGAAGGACAAATTTGAAAGCAGAATACAGGGTTAATGGAAAGATTCTTGGCAGTGTGGAGGAGCAGAGGGATCTCGGGGTTCATGTTCACAGTTCCCTGAGAGTTGCCACCCAGGTGGATAGAGTTGTTAAGGCGGCTTATGGTGTGTTAGCTTTCATTAATAGAGGGATCAAGTTCAAGAACCGTGAAGTTACGCTCCAGCTATACAAAAGCCTGGTTCAGCCACATCTGGAGTAGTGTGTCCAGTTCTGGTCACCTCATTACAGGAAACATGTGGAAGCATTAGAAAAAGGTGCAGAGGAGATTTACCAGGATGTTGCCTGGAATGGAGGGACGGCCTTACGAGGAAAGGTTGAGCGCGCTAGGGCTTTTCTCTTTAGAACGACGAAGGATGAGAGGTGACTTGATAGAGGTATAGATAGAGTAGACAGTCAGAGACTTTTTCCTAGGGTGGAGGTAGCTTTTACGAGGGGACATAGTTTTAAAGTGAAAGGAGGTAGATATCGGGGAGACGTCAGAGGCAGGTTCTTTACTAGAGAGTGGTAGGGGCGTGGAATGCATTGCCGGAGAGGGTAGTGGAGTCGGCTTCATTAGGGGCATTTAAGCGGCTATTAGATAGGCATACGGATGATAGTATAAGGTAGCGGTGGAGGTTAGATAGACCTTAGGTTTAGGGTAAAAGTTCGGCACAACATCGTGGGCCGAAGGGCCTGTATTGTGCTGTACTGTTCTATGTTCTAAAAGTAGTATTTTGATCTTTAAACAAAGTGGTTAACACAATTTTAACTCCTTTTAAGCATTTTAATTAAAGAATGCAATTAACCCAAGATGCATGATGCATGACAGTAAAGTCCTAGTGCCGTGTGACAGTTTAGAGGACTCTGACATGAGATACTTTCTTTAAACAATGACCTATGATCTAAAATGCACTGAAAGGAGCAGTGGAAGCAGATTCAAGAACTGGATAAATACTTCAATGGGAGAAAAATTTACCAAGGTTGAGAATATTGCAGAAGTGGGACTAAGTGGACAGATCTTTCAAAGTGCTGGCACAGAAACAACAGGCTAAATAATTAGAGATAACACAGCGTGGAGCTGGAGGAGCACAGCAGGCCAGGCCACATCGAGGAGCAAGATTCTGAAACGAACCGAAACGTCAACTTTCCTGCTCCTTTGATGCTGCCTGGCCTGCTGTGCTCCTCCAGCTCCAAAATGTGATCTCGGACTCCAGCATCAGCAGTTCTTACTGTCTCAAGCTAAACAATTAGCTTCTTTACTGCAATCTATGAAGAGTAGCAGAGCTCTGTTAGAGTATGAAGCACTCGCCACAGGAAACAATTGTCGCAGAATTATGATAATACAGGGGTAGCAGGCTATGATTATTGTTAGATTATTCTAGCAACAAGCTAGTGTGCATAGAATTGGATGAATGACTGTGTTCTTCAGTGTAAGATCTCCATGGTTATAGCCCTCAATCAGCAACTATGCTTTAGAAGAATTAAACTAAAGCGCAAAAGACAATGTTGTCCAGGAGAATACTGAGATACAGGCTATTAGACTAGACGGGATTGAGGTTCATAAGGAGGAGGTGTTAGCAATTCTGGAAGGTGTGAAAATAGATAAGTCCCCTGGGCTGGATGGGATTTATCCTAGGATTCTCTGGGAAGCTAGAGAGGAGATTGCAGAGCCTTTGGCTTTGATCTTTATGTCGTCATTGTCTTCAGGAATAGGGCCAGAAGACTGGAGACTAGCAAATGTTGTCTCCTGGTTCAAGGGGAGTAGAGACAACCCTGGTAATTTAGACCAGTGAGCCTTACTTCGGTTGTGGGTAAAGTGTTGGAAAGGATTATAAGAGATAGGATTTATAATCATCTAGAAAGGAATAATTTGATTAGGGATAGTCAACACGGTTTTGTGAAGGGTAGGTCGTGCCTCACAAACCTTATTGAGTTCTTTGAGAAGGTGACCAAACAAGTGGATGAGGGTACATCGGTTGATGTGGTGTATATGGATTTCAGTAAAGCGTTTGATAAGGTTCCCCATGGTAGGCTATTGCAGAAAATACGGAGGTATGGGATTGAGGGTGATTTAGCGGTTTGGATCAGAAATTGGCTAGCTGTAAGAAGACAGAGGGTGGTGGTTGATGGGAAATGTTCATCCTGGAGTTCAGTTACTAGTGGTGTACCTCAAGGATCTGTTTTGGGGCCACTGCTGTTTGTCATTTTTATAAATGACCTGCATGAGGGCGTAAAAGGATGGGTTAGTAAATTTGCGGATGACACCAAAGTCAGTGAAGTTGTGGATAGCGCAGAAGGATCTTGCGGGTTACAGAGGGACATAGATAAGCTGCAGAGCTGGGCTGAGAGGTGGCAAATGGAGTTTAATGCGGAAAAGTGTGTGAGGTGTTTCACTTTGGAAAGAGTAACAGGAATACAGAGTACTGGGCTAATGGTAAGATTCTTGGTAGTGTGGATGAGCAGAGAGATCTCGGTGTCCATGTGCATCGATCATTGAAAGTTGCCACCCAGGTTGATAACGTTATTAAGGCGGCGTATGGTATATTAAGTTTTATTGGTAGAGGGAGAGAGTTTTGGAGCCACGAGGTCATGTTGCAGCTGTACAAAAAACTCTGGTGCGGCCGCACTTGGAGTATTGCGTACAGTTCTGGTCGCCGCATTATAGGAAGGATGTGGAAGCATTGGAAAGGGTGCAGAGGAGATTTACCAGGATGTTGCCTGGTATGGAGGGAAGGTCTTATGAGGAAAGGCTGAGGGACTTGAGGCTGTTTTCGTTAGAGAGAAGGTTAAGAGGTGACTTGATAGAGACATACAAGATGATCAGAGGATTAGATAGGGTGGACAGTGGGAGCCTTTTTCCTCGGATGGTGATGGCTAGCACAAGGGGACATAGCTTTAAATTGAGGGGTGATAGATATAGGACAGATGTCAGAGGTAGGTTCTTTACTCAGAGTAGTAAGGGCATGGAATCGTCATTGGATAAACATATGGATGATAATGGAATAGTTTAGGTTAGATAGGCTTCAGATTGGTTTCACAGGTTGGCGCAACAGAGGGCCGAAGGGCCTGTACTGCGCTGTAATGTTCTATGTTCTACGTCAAGAATTTTGACAAATATTTTAAAAACTGGAAGTTGGAGTAATGAACAAGCTTTCCCTCTTGTTTTCTATGCTAAAATATAAAAAGCAAGGAACCAGCTTCTTTCAAGTTGCATAATTCAGTTAATCGTCAGTACTGCAAATACATAAACTTTCATTACATCTGGTACTCTGGACCGCCAAATCCACATTCATAATGACAACCACTCCTTGATATGCAAAAGCCAATATCATACTTTGTAATGAGTGTAAATTGTAACATCCTGTAAAAGAGCATCAAGTCACATGCTACTTTGATGGGGGACGTGGGAGGGTATTTTTGAATAAGCTACTTTTATCCCTGCCATCTTGAGAAAAGAAAATGAACATGTAAATTACATTGTAGGATCCCTTGTCTGAAATATAAAAAACTGCTTTGATCATAATCAAGTCTCAAAGTGCATCTACCTTTTTCTCAAGCTTTAACCAGTTTGGGTATCCTTTGTTGTCTGTATATTGGAGTCCAAAATACCAGATCTCGCGTAGGCCAACAGTTTTAACAACCTGTATAAGAAAAACGTGTATAAAACATCAACTTAAAACCTGCAGACTAATTGAGTTATTCACAAAACTCTTTTCAAACTGCACATTATATTCAGCTTTGAGCTCTCCATGAGACAGGAAAATATAGGATAAGAACAGAAGTTCACAATTGAAACTTGGAGTTTAAGAGTCGATGTTGAAGAAGTGATTGTAACAAAGTCAGTCAGGTGAACCTCAGAATAGGAGTTCCCTGATTGGGGCTGTTAACCTGGTCCTGTTAACAGAAGTGTCAGGTTCTGTTCACTCAGAGCTGGCTCGGAGGAATCCAGACCAGTGTCAAAGTACAATACACATCTAAATAAATGGGTGACAGGATACCGGCCTCTCTCGAATTATTTCATTTGGAACCTGATTAAATGGGATCAACCAATTTTGAAGCAAAGATGTTAGATGAGAGACAGCCAATAACAGCACCTTTAATAACAGACTCCTTTAATAAATGTTAATATTGCACTCTGTTTTATGTAGGCAAACTGGGAGCAACCCCTCAATCAGGGAATAACTAAAGTTTGGCAGAGGAATGTCTTCATTAAGCTAACTGAAGATGGAGTGGCTGTGTCTTGCTGCCTGGAATATTTTATATCCCATCTCTTTGTAATCTAAGGTTCAATGGAAAAAAGAGTCTCAACAGATTCAAAATTAAAATGTTGATCAGTCTTCAAAAGGTAATCCTCTGATTTGAAAAACAGCCATGTACTACAGCTGTTTTCATCCTTCGGATACAGCCTCTTTCATTATAAAAGTTGCCAGCTCTGGCAAAAGGGCCTCCCCTTACACCACATGGTGTAAGATTGAAAAGGAGAAAAGGCCAGGCTTTTAAAACAAAACAAACGCTTGGCATAGAAACAATATGTAGATTGAAATAAGGTCCATGTACATGGCTACAAGAATACATATTCATATCTCTAATGTAATGGTCTATATTTAATCATGCTTAAAACATAGATGTAGAGCCACTTTCTTGCAATATAAATAATTCAATATATTAGCAGCACTACAATTACAAAAAAAAAATCTTTCAATACATCTGGCTACTCTGGATGTTATTATCATTGGCATCCACAATGATACTCACTCTTTGATAAGAAGGATGTCATCCACAATCAATGGCACAGCAATTTTAACATTGTTTGATGTCGCATAACCTGATGCTTAATTTGTGTGGTTTGGAGGCAGATGTTGAGCAACGTCAAAATAGAATTAAACACGTCCAGTGTATATCAACACCACCCTGTCCCATTGAAACCCCATACCAAGACCAGAAGGGAATGTAATGGATTTGATTTATGAATTTTAAGCAAGCATTTGATAAAAGTATCACAGGTTGGTTAATAATATTGGCTCTTGGAAATAAAAAAGGGAAGAAACATTTTGACACTTTCTGTAACTTCTTAAATTTATGTTATGTAAAGGAATTTTGATTAACTTGAGAGAATGTTCTGTATGAACTTCATATTCAGGTATACACAGTGGTTCAACACCGTACACAATGAAAAAAATGGCAGCGAAAACATATTTGGCAGCACAGTGTTTAGCACTGCTGCCTCAGCACCAGGGACCCAGGTTTGATTCAAATCTTGGATGACCATCCGTGAGGAATTTGCACGCTCTCCCCACGTCTGCGCAGGTTTCCACCAGGCGCCTCCCGTTTCCTCTCTCAATTCAAAGATGTGCAGGTCAGGTTGATTGACATACTAAATTGCCTCAGTCTCAAGGGATATGCAGGTTAGGAGGATTAGCCATGGGACATGCAGGGTTGTGTCAACAAATAGGAGAGGAGAGGAGGAAGCAAATTTTTCCTGACCAAGATGGGATTCAATTTTTCCAGCAGACATGTTGTCCACAAAATCCCAGTACAATGGAATATGCTGAAGTTAATAAAATTCTGGATTCATCATGATTAACAATAACATTTCACGGAGGATTCTTATAGTCCATTAAAGGAAGCAGCTGCCAAGAAATACTGTTGCAGATTATATCCCTGATTTAAAAGAAACTCTTGGCACTGTGGGCACCATTTAAATTAAGTGACTTTTAAAAGAAAGTCTATAGGAGGTTTAAAGAACCAACTGCAGACCAAGATTTTGACCAAAATGATCTGACATGGAAAAAGGCTCAATGTTGAGACCACAATCATGTAAATGGCAGAAAGGATAGTTGCAAATTTCAAGGAAGTAATTTTCTTGAGCCAGCAGGGGTGATCCACTGGATGTCACAAGATTCAGGACTTGTCAGTCAAGCTCAGTTTCAAAGTCAGAAATGTAGATGCTACCATTCCCATTGGTGGGCATCAACCATCTAAAATGGCCTTATTGTAAGATCCAGATGGTGAGCAGGAATTGGAAACAGTGACACTCCAAGTTGTGGTAAGGCTCTACGTTGCAGCCACGAAGATCATGAAAGATCTAAAGCTAGTTCAGGATATTCTCAAATGCTCAGTTGGCAGATGTGGAAACAGAAGTTAGTTATCGAAGAGGAAGATGAAAAGTTGGTCTCAGAACAAGAAAACCAGCACATATAAAGATGAAAATAATGGAATAAAGTGACAAAGTTAGGCAGTATTGCAGAATGTACATGATATCAAGATGACAAAAGAGATATGGATAGACTAGGTGAATGGGCAAAACTGTGGCAGATGGAGTTCAAAGAAAGTGAGAGTTTCTCCATTTTGGACTAGAGGGATACAAGGGGTACTTTCAAGATGACATTGAGTTAAATACAGTGGATGCCAAAAGAAACTCGGGGATTCACAGGCATAGATCTTTAAAATGTCATGAACACATACAAAATAATCAAAATGGTTAATGGAACTGGAGTATGAAGATGCAGACGTCATACTGCAGCTATACAAAACCCTTGTTAGGCCCCACTGGGAGTTTTGACAGCAGACCTGGGTATCCTGTAGCTTAGAAAGGTATATTGGCCTTGGAAGGAATTCAATGTAGGCTTTCAAGAATGATAACCCCTGAAGTCCATTCTTGAAAGGTAAGTCTGAGGACAGATTATGTAAATTAAATTTTTTTTTCTAGAATTTAGAGGTTAGGCAGTGATCTGATCAAAGTCTTCAAAATAGTAACAGGAAAAGACAGTAGATAAAGATTAAATATTTTCACTGGTTGCAGATTCTAGATTCAAAGGGTCACATTCTGAGAATTAGGGCACTATTCAGGACAGATGTTAGAAGCACTTCTATGCAAAGAGTTAGAAGCTTGGAACTCTTCTGCAAATGACAGTTGATGCTAGATCAGTCATTAATTTTAAATCTAAGATTAATTATTTTTTGTTAATCAAAGATATCAAGGGATATGGCTCAGAGGCAGATATATGGAATTAAATCACAGATCAGTAAGAATCTCGAGGGGGCTGAAGGACCTACTCCTATTCCTATGATAGGATTCCAGTATACAGAGTAGAAATGAAATTCAGACATTCACAACTTGATTTCATCATTGAATGTTGCTGCTTGTGTTGCTTCTGCAAAGAACAAGTAACTCCCAAGTCTCATTCCCTTGCACAAAGCTGGTGTAAAGCCTCCATCTTCTGTCGTGACATTATGGATTTCTTACAGAAACTCAGCACTCACGCATCAGTCAAACCCGGAACACTCCTGATCACAATGGACGTTTTGGCATTCTACACCAGCATCCCCCATGATGATGGCATCGCTGCACCAGCTTCAGTACTCAATACCACACCAACTGCCAATTTCCAGACGCCACCCTACAACTCATCTGCTTCGCCCTTGACCAGATCGTCTTCATCTTCGACAACCAGTTCTCCATCCAGACATATGGAACAGCCACGGGAACTAGATTTCCTCTCCAATATGCCAACATTTTCATGCACAGGTTCAAATAAGAGTTCTTTGCTGCGTAGAACCTCTGAACGCTATACACCAGAAAAATTGACGACATTTTCTTCCTTTGGACCCCTGGCAAGGAATCACTTAAACAACTACATAGTGATATCAACAAGTTTCATCTCACCATTGGACTTACCATGGTCTACTCTTTAGAATCAGTCTCATTCTTGGACACATGCATCTCCATCAAGGATGGAGACCTCTGTACCTCACTCTACCGCAAGCCCACGGATAACCTCACAATGCTGCATTTCTCTAGCTTCCACCCCAAACATATTAAAATAACCATCCCCTATAGACAAGCCCTGCACTACACAGGATCTGCTCCGATGTGGAGGAATGAGGCAGACACCTGAAGGTGTTGAAGGACGCCCTCATTAGGAACAGGATACAATGCTCAACTCATTGATCGCCGGTTCTGACATGCCACAGCAAAAAACTATAATAACCTCCTCAGAAGACAGACACAGGATACATCCGATAGGGTACCCTTCGTCGCCCAGTATTTCTTGGGAAGGAGAAACTATGCCATGTTCTTGGCAGCCTTCGACACATTATCAACGACGAGCACCTTGCCAAGATCTTCCCCATGCCTCCAAACAACCACCAAACCTTAAACAAACCGTTGTCTGCAGCAAACTACCCAGTCCTCTGGACAACATTGACCACGACACTGTACAATCCTATCATAGCAACCTCTGCAAGCCATGTCAGATCTTCGACATGGAGTGTGCCATCACATGTGGGAACAGCATCCACCACAAACACAGCAGATACTCACATGCCTCGGCCAACATTGTCCATCTCATATGCTGCAGACAAGGATGCCCCGAGGCATATTTGGCAAAACCATGCACGTGCTATGACAATGGATGAATGGACACGGTGCAATAATTGCCAGACAGGGATGCTCCCTCCCTGGTGTTAATGTCACACTACAGGTGACCCCACCACACTGCGCGCGCACACACACACACACACACACTCTTCCTCACTATCTCGCACATGCAAATCTATGGGGTGATTTGGTATTTGCGGATACATTCTATTTTGCTCAAAAAGCACACAATTTATCAACAGTCAGTCAATACGGCATTTT